TTTTTTCCTTATTTAATTCCGTGTATTCTTTAAAGGTCATTAAGATTTTGAAGGCTTTGGCTCCGTAATATTTGGCTGATTGTTGTTTAGTAGTTAATTGCTGCTGTTGTTTTTGTTGTTGATATCTTGCTTTTTGCTGGTCTTTTATCTTGGCTTTATTCTTTTGGTAATTCTCCTGATTTATCTGTTGCCTAGTCTTTTTGGTTGGTTGATACTCTAAAAGAGTATTATTGGAATTATTTAAGGGTTTTTTAGAGCCTTTTACCATATATATTTATTTTTTTATTCAGACTTATTCAGACTAAGGATAAAAACTTTGTTCTATGGTAATTATTAGGTGTTTATAACTTAATCGGTGCTTATGGTAATAATAACTCTATATTAGTGCTTTTGCTTATTGTTTTCCTTTTGTTTTAGTTCATAATTCTTTGTTCTATACTTTTACTGGTGAACTGATTAATTGTTTATTATTTGCTTGGTTTTTTACTTACTAAATACCATTTAAAAAAAGTAGCAAAAAAAAAAAATTGATTTCTAGGAAGTTTTTGGGTGTGTTTTGTTTTCAGGCTTTTTTGGGTTTTCTCTCTGTTTAGGTTAGAAAATTTTCTTTGGTGGCGAACTAGTGAGACACCAAAATTTCTTTGGTTCTTTCTTTCTAATAATTAAATCTCCAACCTAATTATTAGGGGGAGCAAGATACTCCCCTTTGTTTTCAAGAATTAGGGAGTTTTTGAGACTCCCTTTTTTTGAAGTTAGAGGTTAGTAAATAAGTAATTAGTTAACTGCCTTGCTATATTTCCAATTACAGCACTTCTATTTCTAATACTGCCCCCAGTCATAGACAAAGCATTTATAAAAGTATCAGCAGTTGGTTTCTTATGACCTCCACCATGACGATAATCATGACAATTGAAACTTCAATTAGAAAAATGGCTAGAAGTTCCACAATTCACACATTTAATTTGACCTTGACTTGATATTAACAAAACTCCACAATCATCATTTTGACCCGTAAAAGTCATGAGATATCCGTTTTTTGAATGAAGCCAAGTATAAGCACTCCTATTACTAGAGCATCCGACAGCAGGGCAAGGTATATATAATTGCATAAATCCTTGACTAGCATAACAAGTGCAATCAGCATTGGAATAATGGCAAGGACCATAACCCTTACTTGAACTTATATCATTATGAGTTAAGTCATCGTAATTCACCTGTTCTTGGCTGTAATTGTTAAGAAATTCCTCAAAACTAGGAATTTGGTTTTTTATTTCTCTAACTTCCTCAACTTTTTTGTGATTTTCTTTTGGTATTAAATTGTTGTTATTTGGCATAATTTTTTATTAATATTTAGTTTTTGTTTTAAATCAGGGGAACGCTATGGCTCCCCCTTGTTTTTTATAATCTTTACCTCTAAACTTTTTTAACTTTTTTATTTAATCGCTTTTTCACTACTACTGCACTACCAATTAGTAAGGCACTAGCCACACCAACAATGGCGATAATTCCACCCTTACCAATACCTTTATCATCGTTTTTTAGAGTTATAGAGGAGGAATTTGCTTGTAATCCTGATTCTGATTTATAACCAATTGCTCTTTTCTCTGCTTCATTTAAATTTTTTATTTTAACCATCTTGTCAGGGTCAAAAACTAGACATCCATTTTTATCACTTTTTCTTTCTGCTGAATTATGAATAAGTCACTCCTCCTCATCATAATCAGCCCCTCCAGTTGAGACAAGTAACTTTTCAAGACTAAATTCATTCTTATGTCGATTAATTTTATCAACTAATTCTTGATCAATTTGAATTGAAACACCAAAAATCGCAATAATTTCGGCTCACTCCTTTTCACTAAAATAATCTCGTCGGTAAACCTTACCAGGTTGATTTATTAATTCGCCCGTTGCTCGATTATAATCACGGCTACCTAATCTTACTGTTTTAAGAATAAGAACATCGTCTTTCTTTTCTCCACCATAGCGGTCATAAGTTATCGTTTCTTTCCTGATTTCTCAATCATCTTTATTTTGTTGGATTTCGATAATTAAATCCCAACGAACTTCTTCTTGAATGCCTCGCACTTTCTTTTGCTCTGAAAATAAATCATAATTACCATGTCTAGAAGCAATTTCTTGGCAAATTTGTTCAAGAGTTTTCTTGCCTCGGTCAGGATCGCCACTTCTGATTTTCCCCTCACCCTTTACTCCTAAACCATAGTTTCATTTTTTACCTTTAAGAACTTCCTCCCGCTCCCTACCTTTGTTTAACGGATGATTAAGTTGATTAAACATCCCAAGAGCTTCCTGCGGAGTTAGTTCTTGACCCTTAATTAATCCTCTTGTTTGATTAACAATATTGTCTCCACGACCTTCCAATACTTCATTAATCTCAAATAAGAAATGCTTTAATTTTTCGGGACAATTATTAACATTAATACCAGTGGCATCAATTCATTTATAAAACTCTTGCTTTAATTTTTCTCTAAAATCATCAGGCTTTTTTCTAATTTGTGTCTTAAAAACAAACAAATTAGTCAAAAATGTATCTTCAAACCCCTCAAAAGTATCATTGCTGTCTTGAATTATCTTTCTATAAATTTGCCTTCTATTGCTTCAATCAGAATAACAATCCATTTTTCCAACATATTCTTCCAAAGGTTCCAAAGTATTGTAAAAAGTGTCTAATGCCAACTCCATTTCGTGAAGTGTTTCTTGCTTTAATTTACTTGTGTACATATTTTTATTTTATTTTATTTTATTATTATTAATTAAATTTAAATTATAATTCTCACAACTTATCCGAAATTATTTTTATTATATCCTTTACTCTTTTATCCCTATTTCTGTTTTCGCCACTTAACATAGTTAAGGCATTTGCAACAATAGAATAATTTGTTTGCCTATAACCACCCTTGTGTTTGCTACTAAAACAATTAAAACTTCAATTGAGCATATTGCTAGGATTATTACAATTTATACATTTAATTTCAAGGTTTTTAGAAATGTATATAGGATATTCGCAACTAGCATGAACTCATGTAGATGCTCCATCCTTTCTATACCTATCCTCGCATTCAAATGCCGGACAGCCTAAATATAGTTGTATTCAACCTTCATCAGTATAATGAGTACAATTAGGATTACTATAATAACAAGGTCCATATCCTTCTTTACCTCTTTCACTTACATAATTGCTACCACTTTTATTAATCACCTTAGCCCTGGCAGCCGGAGATAAAGGTGATTTTTTAATCTCATAATCTTTAATTTCTTGGACTAATTCAACGGGTTTTTTATTTTCGATTAAATATTGATTTTTACCATATTTTTTATTAAATTTCTTATTTTTTTATGTTATTTTTGTTATATTTTTGCCAATTTTTAACAGAATTAGCCAACTGTTTTTTAATACTCTGATAATCTGGTAAGCAATAACTTACTAGAAATTAGGAGAGTATTCTTTACCCTGTTTTAGGCTTCTGGGAAAGTCGCTGTCTAGGCTTCAAAAGTCTTGGCTAGTGCGAAAGGGAGAAGTTTTGTTATCCAAATCATTCGTAATTGTAGCATCCCAATTATTACTCTAACTTCACCACCATAAGTTAGGAGATTAGATAACTTTTCATCAGTTAGGCAAATTAAGAAGCGGTGAACTTCTTGTATTGTTGTTAGTTTGCTTTCTACTAACTTCATCATCATTATTATATAGAAAACTTTTTTATCAAGTATTCTATAATTTAATTTTATTATATAAGGTTAGAACACCGCCCCCTCATTTTTTTAAAAAATCCAAGTCATCCAGCAAAACATTTTTTAGAAAAAACCAAGGTTCCAGCAACTTATTTATATCTTTTTTTATTCTTTAAGAATAATTAACAAAAATTTTCCTATCATCCAGGAAGTAAAAACCCTGAAACCTAGGACTATTATTTTTTTACTTTTTTCGTTTTTTTTGATAATACTCTTTCTGCTTTTTAGTTAGTTTTTTACCTCCTCTTTTTTGTCAACTATAATGAGTAGGAGCAAAGTTGCAAACATGTTGTTGGCATTTTTCTGCTAATTCACTCCTTTTTGGTCTTTTTTTTACTAATCCTGCTAATAATTTCAAGGGGAATTTTAGAACCTTTAAAGTGGCAAGGAACACATTCACCCTAAACAAAAATTTCTCTCTCTTGGGAAGTATAAAGGCTGATTACTTTGCGATAAGTTTTGAAATTAGTCTCTTTTTCTTCAAATTCTATCTCTACTTCTTTGATATTTTCTCAATTAGTTATTAAGTCAGTTCAACCACTTTTGACCGCTTTTTCAAAGCAAAAAAAGGCTTCATCTTGGTTATCATTGTTGACAATTAGGTAATAAGTGTTAAAATTCTTATCCTCTAATTTTTTGATAGTAATATTGGTTAAATTAAGGGTTGGCATATAATAAATTTTCTAAAAAATGAGGTGGGGGTTGAACCAACTTTTAGATTGAAATTCTTCCTAAAAAATAAAAAAAATATTACTAAAATAAGCAAAAAAAGAATAAAAAACTTATAAAATCAGTTAATAAAGGACATTAGACATTTAGACATTATGAAAAGTAATCAAAAAAAATCTTTTAAAGAGTATTTGGCAGAAATTGAAGACCCTAATTACCAAGGAGGTTCGTGAGCCTTACCGGAAAACCCTACTCCATTAGAAAAAGCCAAATATGAATTATGTGAAAAGATTTTAGGCTACCAAGAGGATAATAATTTGTCTGATAAAGAATTAAGGGAAAGAACTGGTCTATCACAGAGAAAGTTAGAGGACATTTTATTTACTCGTATAGAAAAAGTAAATTCTGACGAGTTAATCAATGTGGCTAGTAAATTATTTGCTCCTTGTCAAGTAGAAATTGTTATTAAAGAGGAGAATTCCTTTCATGCCCGAGCCGTTTAAGTTAGTTAAGGAAAAGTTTTCAAATAAGGATAATGAATTACAGTGAACTTATCTTTGCCTGTTTAATTTCACTTTCAAAAAGAGGACTATCGAAAAAATAACCATTACCGACCACCCTTGACGAAAAAAAGGTCGGGAGTGAATGACCCAAGAATTAGTTTTAAATATTTTAGTTGCCGAACTCAATGGTAAACAGAGGATGAGACCAGATAAAAAATATGGGAATAGAGAAGTTTTTGTGCGGCAAAGAGTTCTATACCTAGAAAAGAAATATAAACTAGTTTTTTGATTTAAAGATGATACAACCAATCACCTATGAGTAAAAAATTGCCACCAACAAGATTAAAATCATAATATATGACTAACCAAGTCCAAGAACATATTAACCAACTTACCAATCACAAAAGAATAAAATTCCTAGATATTAGCAACCGCGATTTAGCAGGTGAGGCTGACCTAAAAGAATTTACCGCTCTAATTAGCCTGAATTCTTACAATAATAAGTTTGAAAGTTTAGAATTCTTAAATACTTTACCCAATAAAGATAAATTACAAAGAATTAATTTTTTCGGCAATCAGATAAAAGAAATAGATTTAGCCTGATTATTAAGTGCTTTTCCTAAATTGGAGTATCTGAATTGTGAAAATAATCCGTTAAGTGCGAAAAACTTGGATAAAATGACTAGCGAACAATTTGCAAAACTGGTAAAGGGAATTAAAGACAAAAAAATAGGGATTAATAGTTGAAAAGGAACAATCTTGGTGGATTTGCTGGAATATGCTCAAAAATTAGTTAATAAGGGCAATAAAAACCAGCAACAAAACTCTCAATATTTACAAGCCCTTATCCAGCAGGGAAGTTCACCGGTGAAGTCGGATAATAAACAACCTGGTAATAATACTCCGCTTTTAGTTGGTTTAGTTGTTTTTGGAATTATGGCTTTGGTAATTGGTTATTTATGGGGCAAAAAGAGAAGTGAAGTAAAAGAGGAATAAAATTAATAAATATATGTCAACAGTAAGTTTAGATGAATTTCAATTGCGAGAGTTAACAAACGCTCTTAACAAAATTAGTAGAAGTCTAGAAGGAATAGAAAAAGAATTACGAGAAATAAAGAGAAAACTTAACTAAAAATTAAATATAATAGTTGTCTATTGAAAACAGCCTCATAGGTGAATGGTGTTGGAAAATGCCTCTTACCTACCTAGTAGCCTATTGGGCTGCTTTGAATATTCAACAAAAAAATGGTAAGAGGCAATTACCAGGAAGTAAAATTACATTCTACTCCTGAAAAAATATCTAAACACGGCAAGCATAAAAATCCCAACTATCACCAGGATTATTACCTAGAAAATAGGCAAAAATTACTTCTCAAAAGAAAACTTCGCCATCAGCAAACTTACCAAAAAAAACTTCCCAAATCTCCTTCTTTATTCTTAAAAACCCGTCAAAATAACCTCCTCTCTTGTCTAAACAAACACCACATCACAGTCCCCGTTCCCCGCTTCCTAAAAATAAAACACCCTATCATTAAGGGCTGAAATTCCCCTAATTACTGATACCAAGGAAACATCTTTGAACTACTAAAAAAGGGCTGAAATTACTTCACTTTACTAAATAAAGGCAATTCCTACCAAGGAGTTCGTATCGGTTGCCTTGACATTGACGAAAAAGGCTGAACCAAAATACCAACTAAATATTGATGTTGCTATATTAGTGCGGGTAATGGTCGGATTAAAGTGCTTTTTCTTTACCGAGATAACTACAACTTAAAAACCAGCAAGGGATATTTTCAAGGAAAACCAATTTTAGACTTCAAAATATCAGGGGGAATAATGGGAATAGGCAGTATTCACCCCAACGGCAATCCTTACCAACTAAAAGGAGCAGGGAGTTTCTTCTTACTGAATAACAAAATTTTCAATTCTCCCCATGAAGTAGCCGAATTATTAAAGCAAGATTGAGAGATTGAAGTATTAAACATTAGAGAACAATTCATTAAGCAAACAGAGCAAACAAAAACCTCAAATTTGACCGAACAAGAAATTTTATTAATTCTCACTACGGGACCACCGATGAATTGTGAAAAGGGTCAAGAAAAGATAACTTTTTCTAATAAAACTTACTTATTAGTCCTAAATATAGTTATTTTTATTAAAAGCAAGATAAAAATATTAATTTTACTTAAAATTATGATAATAGGATTAGTGGTAGCAGGAATTGGCT